GAGTTGTGATCACACAGGGATGAAACTTATACCAATAGAATCTGTGGACTCTCAGCTTTTCATATGATATAGTTTGTGCAGATAGCATGAAGTATAACATATCGCTACCAGTGCTGATTTAAACGCTTGGTGTTAGACTTGTGTTTTGTTTAGGTACAAATCTCTCTATNTATCTATAACTATCTATCGATCCATCTGTAATGTTCTGTTCTATGGACATATAATTGTCCACATAAACAGACGACGCAGACTACTTCTCTCATTCCGGGTGTCCATCTTTATTCAACTGGCACGTAACCTGCACACATTCATTACGTCCTCAAAGTGAGCTCAGTCATCCAAGATCTTGTATTCTCCAAGATGTTACACTATCTCTCTCTCTCTCTCTCTCTCTCTCTCTCTATTTATCTCTTTCTCTCAATCGATTTTTTCAATCTGAATTCATATTGATAATTTTTAACAACAGAGGGTGCTACATAACACTTTCAGGGAAAGTCACGGACTGGACTAAAATTGACCCGTTGGCAGTTCTAGTGTTAACTAGAGTTTTAGGTATGGTGTATTCAGGGACACGTTGTCAGACCTTTCTTTCAACGTTCTTTGTGTACATATTGTGTGTTGACACCAGCTTCTTAAAGAGGTCTGGCTGAGGTTATGAGCCAATAAAAGGAAAAGCCAATATAATGCTGGATTTAAAAATGGCTCCCGAGATTTATTGTGTCCTTTTTTATAAGCTGCATTCCCCGATGCTGGGAATAGAGTTTAAAAAAAGACTGCAGCGGTATTTTGATGCCTGAGATGAATTATGTTGCAGCAGATGAGTCGTGTTATGATGTGAAGCACCAAAAGCAACACTCATCAGAACCAGAATCCCTTTATTAGTCCCACGGAGGGGACATTTGCGTAGTTACAGCAGGAAAAAGAGCCAAAGACAGCTTAATCTTACATGTGTTAAATATGTGACATGCATTTTAAAAAAAAAGTACTAAGTTATGATTTAATAATTTAAAAAAGAAGAAAATAAAAAAGTTACATAATTAAAAGAATACACATCCTGTAAAAGTTCTTAGGATTTAGCTGCCAGGTATATATTACACAGTTATTAACGGCATCTATATATATTGCACATAGTTTGTTGGTATTTAGCAGCAAGGGGTGATATAGTATGTGTTGTGGTGTGTGTGTGTGGGGGGGGGATCAACTAGGGGCTGTGCTGGTTGTGTGGTCTGACCACTGCAGGAAGGAAAGACCTGCGGTATCTCTCCCTGAGACAGCGGGGATGCAGCAGCCTATCGCTGAAGGAGCTGCACTCATACTACATCTTTTCTTTAAAATATGAATTCAGACATTGTGTGAGTTAATAACTTGACTTTCTCTTCTGACCAGGTTAAAGACTAAGGAGGAGGAGTGGCGGGAAGCCCAGCGAGGCTTCAACAAGATCTGGAGGGAGCAGAACGAGAAGTATTACCTCAAGTCTCTCGACCATCAGGGCGTCAACTTCAAACAGAACGACACCAAAGTGCTTCGATCCAAGTCCATGCTGAATGAAATCGAAAGCATTTATGATGAGGTGCGTTTCTTTCTACTATACCTCAGAGCAGGGGTTCCCAAAGTGTGAGGCGCGCCTCCCCTGGGGGGCGCCAGAGAGCTTCAAGGGAGGCGCAGCCGCCAGAAAAAAATAAAGAGAAACAGTGAAATCTAGCTAGTTAACGTCAGCTAAATGTATGCGAGCGGCAAAATATGGATAGATTGTAGTGAAGTTACCTAAAGTGAGAGAGGAGACAGCGTCTGTCAGAAAACGGATAGCTAAGGCAGGTAACATTGGTGAAACGTTACTCCTCCCTGCTGCTAAAGACATCTCCGTCTCAACTATTTCTCTCCGAGAGCAACGTATGAGGAAGCTGCCATCCTTCACCTCAACATGTTTAAAACAAAGATAAAGAGGTTTAAAAAAGCTATTGTTTAATGTTTTAAGGAGGTGACGCTCAGCAAAAAGAGAAAGGTAGCGAAAACAGAGCATTTTATGACATTTTCTCTTACTGGACCTCTTTCAAATGCAATTGAATACCCCTGCATTATAATAACAACAACAACAACAATAATAATAATAATAATAATTGGGAGGGGGGGGCGCGGCTGTGATTATGTTCTCTGAGGGGAGGCTCACCTTCACACACTTTGGGAACCCCTGCCTCAGAGCATNGAATTGCAGTCACAGAAAAATGTCATTGACACATTTAGCACTGTGAATACAAAGGCAACCGAAGCATCATACCGAGAGGCGTTAAGGCTAGCTAATGCAGGTAAACCTCACAACATTGGTGAAACGTTACTCCTCCCTGCTGCTAAAGACATCTCCGTCTCAACTATTTCTCTCCGNAAACATATGGGTACCACTTTACAATGAGACTACCCTTATAAAGGATTCATAATTAGGTTATTAATGAAGTTGTAAACACTTTATTAATCATTAAGAACCATTATAAACCAGTTCTAACATAGTTTTCATACGTCAACACAGGCTCACTATTTGGCAAGATGACTAAGCCTTATATTGGCTACTTAGAGACAATCAACTCAGTGAGCAGATACCAAGGATGCTGGCTGATGAAGGAGACCAAGTAGCCAATATCAGCACAGATGCTTGTGGGCTCACTATTTGGCAAGCAAGCGGTCACAGTTGCCCTGTTTATCTCATGTCTTATAAAAGCGTATTAATGATTTATAAAGTGTTCACAACCTAATTAATTAATGAATTACAAACTATTGGTAAACCCTTCATAAGGGTAGTCTTATTGTAAAGTGGTACCTAAATATGTAACTTAGTGAAAACTTAGTTTATTGGGTTTCTTCAACAGCATACAGTTATTCTATCAGAGCATGTATCAAAAGTAGGTCAACAAATGCTCACTTTATAGAAACATAGGTAGAGTAACAATGTAAATACTGCTTAACACCAGGGCAAACAAAATCTCACACAGACAAACAAACAAATAGAAAACCAGTCGGCTAAAACAAAAATGTCAATAATAAACAATACGTGTAAGTAGGGCGATGTTTGTTTCTGTGTCCTGTCAGAGCGAGTCAGTCTCTCTCTAACCCCGCTCTGCCTCCTTCAGGTACTGGGTGGCTGTGGAGTACGAAGACGAGGAGAAGGGGAAGGGGAAGAAGGGGGGTGAGGGCGATGAGGGGGAGAGCGCAGCAGCACCTGAGGAAGAGGAGAAGCAGCCTGAGGAAGACTTCCAGTGCGTGGTGTACTTCTGGCAGGGCAGGCAGGCCTCCAACATGGGCTGGCTCACCTTCACCTTCTCCCTGCAGAAGAAGTTCGAGAGCCTCTTCCCCGGAAAACTCAAGGTACGGGAGCGGATCTGAATCTCGGATCTTGTGGTACTGCTGCCTGATTGAGCATATTAAGACCAAAACTCATGCACAACAACTTCCTTACTTGTAGTGGCCGGACTATACAACCAGCACAGCCCCCTAGTTGACCCCCCGCCCCCCCCAACACACACTACAACACAGACTATATTACCCCTTGCTGCTAAATACCAACAAACTATGTGCAATGTAAGGGATAATGTGCAGCCTGTCGGGTGTTCCCCATAAAGGCTTATGACACGGACACATTCTCAACAAAGTAACGACATGACTCCCAATATGAATTGAAATGCTTTTATGGATTTAAAAAAATAGTTGTATGTATTGATTTAAATTGAAATGCATCCGCTAAGAAAAATAGTCCGTTCTTACCATTTGAAAAACGCAGCAACGGCAGGAAGGCGGAGCTTTTTGATTACAGATTTGAAAACATCGTTGCTTGCTTTAAAAGTAGCACTCTCATGATGTCAAACCTTGGAACGTATGTATGCCCTAATGCCAAAGGAACTGTCTATGTCTGGACCGCTGCGTGAAAAGGAGGGTTTCTGCCCCGTTACTTCTCCGCCGTTTTCTTGTCGCTCTTGTCTTGTCAGTTCGAAAAGCATTGCTTTTAAGCCGAACTGTAAACAGTTACATCGAACTGACTTGTTTCTGCAGATGTGAGCGTCCTTAACAACGGTCCATAAGTCCTTGACAGCGGTCTGTCTGTTCTGGATTAACAACGGGTCACGTGTTCTGAATTGACCAATCAGAATCGAGTATTCAACAAAGCCATGTAATAAATATATATAAATGCTGTTAATAACTGTAATATATACCTGGCTGCTAAATCCTAAGGACTGTTACAGGATGTGTATTTTTTTTAATGATGTAACTTTAAATTTTT